AACGCGGACAACAAACCTTTGCGCCTGCCGTTGGGTTGCGTTGAAAGGTTCTTTCTTGAGGGTTTGAGCTGGAGATTATTATTTAAATTGACACTTATTTAAATGGCGAGGGAAGCCCGGTGCTCTTACGGGTCCAAGCGTGGGTTAAAAAAAATAAAAAGAAAACCGAGCTCTTTTTTTGGATTCTATTCCGGGTTCCCCTGACTTTGTTGTAAAGTTCTCGAACCGGATGGAGTAAGTAATATTAAAGGTTGTGGATGATGATAATCATTCTGATGCTGTCTTGGGTATAGTAGTCTATTGTCCATTGTCATTGTCATTTTGTCATTATTATCATCTATTTTATCATGATTATTCGCCTTTGATTATTTGGCTGTTAGCGCATCCCCTCTCCTCAATCCCAGTCTAGAACGGCTGTTTCCCTTCCACCACCCCCCTCTCTCTCTTGTGGTCATCTTTTAAGCTATCCACTTCTCCATATCTTGATTACTGTCGCTATACTATTTCTGTATTGCACAACAGCACAGTCCTCTTGTCCCTCCCTCGCTCTCCTTGTCTCTCTCATCCACCTTTCCTTTTTCTCCCCCATCCATCCGGCCGCGTCTCTGCCGTCGTTCATTTTTTAGTTTACTTTTTTTAGTCTCGCCCCCTCCCTCTTTTCAATATCGTATCTACTACCATCTTCTTCCCCATCTACTCCATACTTTAGTACTGCTCCTTTGGATCGAGTCATGCCGAGTGGCCCATTGTTTGCTGCACATTTCCCCCGTCTCTCCTTCATGCTTGGATGCCATTTGGACCGGCGGAGGGTTCACTGACCTTTCCCGCGTGTCGTTCCTTTCACGATCTTATATTTATTTTTGGGGTGTATCATCTTTTGCTTTTTCTTGCTTCTCGTTATCTTTTCTTCTTGGGGCTTCTATCTCGTCAGCTGCTGATTGTCCGCTTCTTTTCTCCCCTCTGCGTTGCGGTAGCAAAGGAGGCAGACTTGAAAAGGACCATCGACCTGTCACACGGGGAATTGAGGGACAATTTTATGCAGTTGCACGATGCCAGACCGTCGCTGGGCCAAGCTCAAGGCAAAGCTGTTATTGCGGCGATCGTCGTCAACATCGTCCGTTCCCGCCGCCACCAGCGACATTATTGCCGAGAACGATCCCCATGATGCTCACGCCCAACAGAGTTGCGCCCCCGGACAATTGGACGATTCGATCGCGGATTGCCCCCCAGCGCGACCCATCAGTTCTAACCGGCGCGCGGTATCATTACAGGCTGTGCCCCAAGCCTTGAAGCTGAAGAAGAAGGAGGAGGAGAAGGAGGAGAGGCCAGAAGAGGACGATCGGGCGAGTGCAGCTGAAGGGAGGCGGACATCGGTGATTGGCTCGAAAGGCGGGCGGTCGAGGGGATCGTTGGAGGAGGAAGAAAAGCAGGTCGAGAAGTTGGAGAACTGCAACTTCAAATCGAAATCCTCCTCTCCCCCCGAACCGGTCGCGGAACAACGTGAGGGACAACGGCACTCGCTCCTCGTTCCTCCAGGTGCCGGTGCCGGTGCTGGTCCCAGTGCTTCCCCCCAGCGTCAGCAATTGGACGCGACGACTTCTTGCGATCGTGTTCGCCCCGCGCCCTGCAGGCGTCACAGTCACGGTCCCTTTTCCGAGCACGTCCTTTCCCCACCCCCGACAACTCTATCGCCAGATCTGCTCCCTTCGCCTTCTCCTACCCCTCCTCCCCCTGTCTCTGATCGTGGTGTTCTTTCAGCCTCCTTTCCGTTTGGCCAAACTCAAGGCTCCGATCGCCTGGGGCCTACGGTCGCGGAGCCGCAGTTGCCCGTGTTAGATGTCGTTACGGAGATTCCGTCGGTCGAACCAGAATTTCAGTCCTCATCCAACCATACTCCCGCTCCTTCCTTCCCAAAGCGTCCCAGTCTAGGCTCCCGTCGTCAGTCGCTGCTGGCCCCGTCTCATCAACACCTGATCAACAGCCTGTTGGATCCCGGTTTGACCGCAGAGCCTGAGACTAACGGTAACGGTCGCTCCGCCACCTACAGTACAGGCATGTCTCGCAAGATCTGGGTCAAGCGGCCAGGCGGGTCGGCCACCTTGGTCCCCATCTCGCTCGATAGCTTGGTGGACGAGCTACGGGACCAGGTGATCCTGAAGTACTCGAACTCGCTTGGCAGAACCTTCGATGCCCCCGATATTGTCATTCGCATTACTCCGCGAGATGGATCGAACAGGCAGGCTACTCCTGATCGGATGCTAAGCCCGGAGGAGCCGCTGGCAAGCGTGGTGGACTCATATTACCCCGGTGGTCAAGCTATCGAGGAAGCTTTGATTATCGATATCCCTTCGCGTCGCACTCCAAAACCTTCTCCACGCCATTCAGTATACTACAACCACCATCATTCCGAGCCGGGCGAGCATGGCGAGTACTTTCCGCTCATGCCGGCGAATCCCAGTGTTCCCACGCCGCCGACGCATCCGTCAACCTCGTCTGCCAGTGTTAATGCTCATCCCGCCCAATCAATCTCAATACTGACGACAGGAATGGCCCCTCCGCTGCCCTCTCCAGGGAGTCGCGGATCTCGACATCCCCGTCGGCCGCCCCTGACTCGCCATGCCACAAACTCACCCACCATCCTCAATCAGGCGCCAACAGCGAAAGGTTGGTCAACTCTAAATTTTAACGAGCTACGAGACGTCGTGTGCAACTGCTAAGAAGTTTGCTAATTTTGTGAGTAGACGCCGGGATCGTCCCCAGCAGTATCCCTCCGCAGCCTGCTCCGTCCATCCCTACTCCGCCAGGCCCGCCGCCAGAATCCCCTCAGGCCAAATCTCTCACCCCTCCAGCACGCGGGGCATCCCCGCGTCCACGTCCCTCCACATCCTCCGCGAAGCCGAAGAAGACCAGCGCAGCACAAGCATTGAGCGGGGTCTTTGGAGGCCTCATCGAGGGCACGGTACCGCCCATCAACGTCTTGATCGTAGAGGACAACAACATCAACCAACGTCTCTTGGAAGCTTTTATGAAACGTCTCAGCGTTCGCTGGAAGTGTGCGGCGAACGGTGAAGAGGCGGTGAACAAGTGGCGCCAGGGTGGTTTTCATCTTGTCTTGATGGATATCCAATTGCCCGTCATGAACGGCCTTGATGCGACCAAGGAGATCCGCAGGCTCGAACGCCTGAACGGTATCGGTGTGTTTCCCAAGACTGCGGACGGGCGGTCGAGCGCTGCCACTGCCAATGCGGCCTCGCCCTCGGCAATTGCGGGCAGTCGGGAACCTCTGAAGGCAGAGGATACATTACACGATCTGTCTCTGTTTAAAAGTCCCGTCATTATTGTAGCCCTGACCGCGAGCAGTCTGCAGAGCGATCGTCATGAGGCTCTTGCAGCTGGCTGCAACGACTTTTTGACCAAGGTAAGCATATAGGACTATCATTCATTTTCGCGCTTCTATCGCAACATGCTAACATCTTGCGAAGCCGGTTCGCTTTGAATGGCTGGAGCAGAAAGTGACAGAATGGGGCTGCATGCAAGCCTTGATCGACTTTGAAGGCTGGCGCAAATGGCGCGGTTACGCCGATGACACTCAGCCTTCGCCCACGTCTGATGGCCATACGAGTCCCATGCAAACTGGCGGAGACGGGGTTTCGCGGAAACAGTCCCCTGTTATACCACTCTCCCCATCCTCTACTTTGAGTCAAGGAGCCACCAAGAAGGACCGCAAAACCCCCAGTTTCCCTAAACCCATCGACGTTACACCCGAAGACTCTTCCGGCAGTGGTAGCGGCGAGGGCTTGGACTCACCTGCCAGTCCCGTAACATCAGTCCCTGTTCCAGACGGGCCTGCAGATCTTGATGCACTCTAATTGATCCTCATGCTATACAAATTTCCTTCTAACGGGGATAATATCACATCGACCACATGTCAGACTGCTGCGCGCCTGTGTGATTGAGCACATCACGTGCATGTTTGATCTTCTATCTCTTTCCCTCTCCCTCCCTCTCTCTCTCTCTCATTTCATCTCATCTCCAAAACCGCATTTTCCGCTATTTTGCGTCTTCCAATGGATACCCAGCATAGCCAATCGTCGATCTTATTTTCTTCTTATTATACTTCTTCGCCTTCCTGGCGTGGCGTCCGCGGCCCCCCCCCCCCCCCCTACGCGGTTGTCATACACTTCATTCCCTTTGTTTGTTCGTTCGTGATCAGCTTCACAGGCGTCTCTGATATGTGATTTTCCATTGTTGGTTGCTTTGGGAAAAGGGCAAGGGAAGGAAGAGGGTGGCATACTCACGCATACGAATCGAGATGTCGTTTTTGTCGTTTTTCTGTTATCACTCTTATCATTCTTATCATCTTTATACATCTACATGTATGCCGCCTTTGAAGGGACTTGGCCTTCTATCTCTTGTGTCTTGTGTCTGCTTCGTAGAGTTGCTCTTGATGTACATAGATCATTGTGTCGATTGGATGGGTGGTTTTGCCCTCCTTGAATTATATACTATCACCATCATGTAACTTATTTTTCTCTTATCATGTTTTTCTCACTGGGACGGTGTACTGATCATATAATAAAGTAAACACACATTAGAGACAGATATATCTTGTTCAACTCTTATATAAGTAGTGTAGTATTGAAGAATCCGGTCCGAAGAGAGGTAGGTAGGTGATAGATAATAGTAAAAGGGCTATAGATACATATTCATGGCTTCCCAGTAGAAGAGGAAATAAAGAGATAAGAATGGGTGGGGTAGTAACCGAACAAGCTCTTCGGACAAAAAGGTGAATATCAATCGATCAACCAGTCGAAAAAGGCTGTATCGTACAGCTGAAAATACAAGGCAACCAAGAGGGGCATACAAATACATCCACCATCCATACCGCACTGCGAGATGGACGGGCTATACAGGGATCTTTCATGTCATTGGGGAGGAAATAAACATGATTGACGAAGAAAGAAGGGGGGTGTAATCCAAGGTCAAGATTTGTAGCAAGCTTAGACCTCCACACGGGTGGGGATCTTGACCTGGCCCTTCTTCCGGTCGTAGCTGGGGACACCGTATCTGCGACCAGGAGCCCGAGCGTTGCGACCATCCTTGCCGGTGGTTTCCTGGCTGACGACAACGTCGTTGATACGGAACTCGAAGCGAGAATCCTCGGGCTGCACACGCTGCGTCTGCTTCTCCTTACGCTCCTGAACGAGACGCTTGCGCTCCTGATCGGCAGCGTCTTGCGTCCTGAGGCGAGCCTTGTAGAGCTTGGGGTGTTGGCGAATCTCATTCGGCACCTCGTTTATGTCACGGGTACTTGTGACCATGTGCGGGTGCGGAATACGCACGTCCGCCGCCTGGAGGACCTGATGCTCCTCATCGCCCTTGCCGACGAGCTCGATGCGCGAGGGATTCTGTGTAATCCGGCTGATGGCCTCAGAGGGATTAGCAACATCCTTGGCAAGCTGCTCGTGTTCTAAAGCCGGGGCAGCGGAGAAGACACGGCCAGCGTCAACACGGTTGAATTGGCGGGACTCTGAGACGGGATAGAATATTTGAGGGTTGGTGAGGCGGTGGACGGGGAGGTCGTTGATTTCTTCATGGGCCTGCTCGGGAGGCGTTACGGGAATCATTTCATGAATGGCACGAGCGTAGGGCACAGCCAAGGGTTTACCCTGAAACAACAAATCTGTTAGTTGCGTTCGACCAAAGTACAGGCAGCATGATCAGAGCTTGTGATAGTAAAAACAACAAGAGAGAATCGGTGTATATCAGAAAAATAGGCGTTGTAACCATTCCCAGTCAACTGGGTCATAAAGACTAATCGAATTTATAATTTTTCTCATCATTGCACACCGCGGGTATGTCCGCTTTGAAAAGCATAAGGGTAGGAGGGGGAACGCATTGGTGATGACTTAGAAGGATCTGTAAACATACCTGTTTCTCCATCCGCTTTTCCAACTCGACCAGCCGGACTACAGCAGCGACTCTCCTCATGTCGACCTTCAGCTCGACACTGACAGCACGCACGCTCTTCTTATTTATTACTACCCGGTTGTAGATCTCCGTCCGCAGCTCCTCACTGAGAATGCTCTCTGAGCGGTAGGCAGGATTTGCCGGGAAAACTCTGTTCTCGACAACCGGCGAATCCTTGAGTTTGGGATTGGTCCGAATGAGGTAGTTTGTTGAGCCTGGAGTATGGGTTCTCAACTTAGCTGCGTCGGTGTTGAGCCACGCAAACATCTCTCTGCGACGTCTAGTAGTTTGAGGGGCCGGCGTGGAAGAAAATGACCGACACGAATGCCATGACTCATGTGATGAGGGGTATGTGGTAGCTAGCCTGGGAAGACATGTGGAGGAGGATGAGGTAGATGATGTGGAAAGGTAAGGGAGGAGAGAGTTGGAGACGACCGAGTTCTGTATTCGGGGTGCCATGTTGTTCAAGGGGACAGGGGGTGAGTGGGTTAGTGTACAAGGATCTCCGACGTCAATGGACCAGATTCCGAGCAGAAGCAATCCAATTGACGGGATAGGGAGTTTAGTGGAGGAGGGGAAGGAGGAGGGTGGATGATATGGAGGTTCAGGATGGGAAGAAAGGCACGAACTCGACGGAAGAAAAGGAAGAAACTTTTCGGCGCGGTGGTGGTCACGTGAAGCCACCGGTGGTGCGGCGCTTGGCCCGATTGGGGAGGAAGCTTTGGACGGTTCCGCCGGCAATTCTTACTATTGGCTTCGGCTTCATTCCCCACGGGCTCCCAACAGGAACTACGAACTTTCTCCCTCCAGGTTTATGACTGTCAAACGTTCTTTAAATGAATGACCGGTGCAATTCCATTGTTGAAGCTGGTACATGTAGAGCAATTTCCCGCGAAGTTAAAAGAAGGGAAGCAAATTCAACACGCCTCTTTTCCAGGGTAATTTCCCGCTCATCAACAGATCCCCCCCGGCAAAGGGAACACATAGAAGAATCAAGACTAGCAAAGGTGACGAAGAAATAAAATAGGGTAGTAATAGCCTCCATGACTCCCATATAACCCAAGCAATGACGGAAGAGCAACAACGCTGCAAAACACGATGCGAATAAGGGACGGAACAATGCGCTACAATCCCAGGCGGCCAGCAGCAGCCAACACATGCCTTGGGATACACCCCTTGCCCAATGATCAGAGTAAGACAGATAGATGACGTCCCAGAAATGTATCTCAAGTGTATAGGTACCCAGGTAAACGCCCCGCACAATGATTAGCTGTTGTCCAGATGAAGGCTGCAAACAATGTAATACAACACGGGAGGGTGGTCGGTAGCTCAAACAAGATCCAGTACAAAGGATTTCCCTCCGGGATTTCCGTGCTTCCTGGCTTTCTGGTCTCGGCCAACGCATCCTTCTCCCATCCTGCGTGATTGAGGGGGTCAAACGAAGGGCTGAAAGGTTTAATCAAGCAAAACGATCGGCAATTTCCCACATGTAGACGATAGCACGCACAGAAGAATAGAGAAGAACGGACAGGCAATCGAAGCCTCCCCTCTCATAGGAAGGAAAGGCAGAGAAAGCAACTATTAGGAAAACATCTGAATAGATAACGCAACAACACGGCACAGGGTATGAAGGTAGTGCAAACATGACGACAGGGCAAGTGAAACAAGCGAAGTTGGCAATGAAAATCCACACGGGCTCCTGGACGTATTAAGAAGAAACCCATACGCGCACAAATGCAATGTCTCCCACCCAAGAAAAGAAAAACAACAAACACGACATGTATAGTAACAGCGCCCCTGATCCCATGCTATCGGAGTGCACAGCAAACGAATGGAATACAATCATAGAAAGCAAAGCTGAAAAAGCGAGAGCCCCGTGGTCCTTACTCCCAGGAGGAAGGCGAGCCTCCAAATGCTGATCTAGCTCATGAAATAGAAACAATAACAACCCCCAATGCGCCAGGTAGCCCAGTGATCATCAAGCATGTCGGACATTATCTCCACAGAAACGTGCACCTTCCTACCGACCCATCATATAATCCGGGTAGTAGGAATTGTAGCCACCCACATTGGGTCCCGAAGCTCCGCCGGTGAGCTGAGGTGGCGGGGACACCATTGCGTTCATCGGATTTGTCCGAATTCCAAGTCCCGAATTGGCATTGAAAGTACCGTTGTTGGGCAATGGTGCATTTGGACTCCCGGAGGGATGCATGGCACCGTTGTTCCTGACTGCCACGGGAGGGACCAAGCCTGGAGGCGCAGACAGGCCCGGTGGCGGTCCACTGACCGTCGAAAACATGTGGTTATGTATTCCACCAAGACTACTACCCCCAGGCACACCACCTTGAGAGGCCATGGCATTAGACGCGCTCATGGAGCCGGGCTGTCCTGATCGGACCCCGAGAGGGTTCTTCGAGAAGCTTAGACGGATGCCGGTCTTGATGCTGTTGGACAACTTCACGCCATACAATTCGTTCAGGGCTTTGCCAGCGGTGCCCACGTCGTCGAATTCCACGAAGCACATCGGCCCATTCTGTTTGTTTCGGAAGCACAAACGCTTGTATCCACGCTGCTTAGAGAAGAGAGCCTTCAGCTCTTCCTCTGAGGTATCGGGAGGTAAGTTTCCCACGTATAATGTATTGCATGGAGGGTTCATGTCGTTCGGATTGGCTGCAGGAAGACTATGGCGAGGTACATGCGGATTGCCATAAGGGAACACATGGCCCGTGCCGATGTTATTGTTCATCGGTTGGGGAAAGGTCGATGGAGGGTTTGGAACGCCGACGTGCGCGTTTCCTCCTTGGTTGTAATTCGGTAGTGGAGGGGAATTGAGATTGCCAGTCAAAGACATGTTGGCAAACTGGTTACCCAGAATCTGAGGGTTCGTGGAACGTCGAGGGACAGAGACAGAAGACGAATGCCCGTTTTCGGCATAGCCCACGGGATCCTTGAGCAGCTCTCCAGTATCTTCATCAATATCCTGATCAATCATCGATTTGCCACTGACTCGCGGAAGCTCGGGAACGCCGTTGCCGATCGGGGACTGGGGGGAGAAGAGACTGTGGAGACGGGAGCCAGGTTCGGATGGGGGCAGGGTATCGCCAGAGGTAGCAGTAGTCGCGTTCAACTTCTCCAAGGTCTGAAAAGTCCCGTTGAAGCGCGACGACTGTCGCGGTAAACCTCCATTAACATGTCCCAGTAAGCCCCGAGTCGCGGTGTGGTCGATCGTGTTTCGTCTGGGCACCAAGGAGGAACCAACTGAGCCGTAAAACATTTCCACAATCATGGTGGCGTCGTTCTTCGAATTCGGTTTGCCGTCGAGAAGTGCTCGTGCTTCTTCCGCAGCAGCCAGGGTGCTGAAGCGCGCGACCGCACACAAGTATCCGTTGTCCTCCGGAGCGTCGGAAGGCACAAAGTCGGCATCCACAAAGTCTTTGGCAAAGAGTAGCATGCTGCGCAGAGCATCGCGACTGGTGTTGCGCGGGAGTTTGCGCATAAGGATCGCGCCGCCACCTGTTCCATTTGTCGGTCGGATAAAGCCATTCAGGCCCTGCGCCGACCGATCCGAGTCGCCCAGACGCATAGCAGATGAGGAAACGTTGTCAAAAGTGGAAGAGGGGCCGATCGGGGAGAAAGGGTAGGTAAACGAAGGACCTAACGAAGTTGGTGCCTGCGATGCGGGCGTATTGTACACGTCGGTCGACATCGCATTCTGGGCCGTCGCGGGCGCTTGAGAGGCCGAAAGCGGCTGGTGGGTAGGCGACGCGCCCGAAGAGACCGAGGGCGTGCGCTGAGTAGTGCTGTAGGAGCCTGGACTCGTACGGGTTGACTGATTCGAACTGCCACTCATGCCTCACGGACCGAAATTCTAAAAGCGTTTGACTCGATCGATTAACCCCACGAGCGGACGGGAGCACGGGCTCCTCCAAGAAGGTAAGGGAGTGCGGGAGGCAACCGGATGACAGATGATGGGACAGAGGCTGGAGGGGCTCAGCCAGAGGAGCGTCAGGAACAATGTAGAAAATATAAAATGGTATATCAACCAGATTATAGGATCAGAATTCTGACGCAATCTCGTTGGGAGGAAGCAAAAGTGCGATGGATCAACACGCGCAATTGAACTCGCGGTATGCGTGTTTAAGGAGGTAAGGATGCGACGGACCGAGTGTCCGAGGGAGAGACAAGAAGTAGGCCACACACGATGGGAATGGAAGAAGGAAAAATGAATTGATAATCAAATGCAAAAGGAATGATTATGCGACTCAGAAATATAATAAAATGTAAATGGTACAGGCAGAAGTTGGGAAGGTAGAGGTAGAGGTAGAATAGGGGAGAATGGAAGACGCGAACGGGAACGGAAAGGGAAGATGGCGAAGGATTGGGAGGGGGGGAGTAGGAGGAGAAAGTTGGGGGAGGGTGGGTGAGGAAGAAGGGAAGAGGAAGAAGAAAGAGAGGAAGGGAAGGACGGCGACGACCAAGACCGTTCGGGGGAAGGATAAAGTTAGATTGGGTTGAGTTTTGGGGGTGGGAGGAGGAGGGAGGGAGGGAGGAGGGGGGGAGGGAGAGAGATTGGTAGCAAGTCAAGTAGTAAGTCGTAGTATTAGTGGGTTTAGTGAGTGAGTGGTGGGAAGGGAATGAGTGGGTGGTGGGAAGAAAGAAGGAGGGGGAGGCGCGTTAAGTAAGTGCCGTAGGCAGTCGTTGGTAGAATGCGTGGTGGTAGTGATTTAGTTCGTGGTGTAGTGCAGTAGTAGTTGTTTAGTAGTAGGACTCGATGTAGTCAAATCAAATCAATGTCCAAATTGTTTTGTAGTAGTAGTAGTACCCGAGAATCCGTTAATCGAATGGGATCGAGTTATTTCTGACTGTAGTAATCAATGAAGAAAGAAATCGATAGATCGATTTGGTTAGGTGGATGAATGTATGGAATGGATAGATGATGACGATGATGACGATGAAGATGGGGGAGAGAGGGAAATGGAAAGGGAACGAGAAGAAGGAAAGAGGAAGAGGAAGAGGAAAGGCTGCCGTGCAATCGGCGTAAGGAACCGTAGGAACTGAAACTGGAAATGGAGAGAAAGGATCCGGCGAAATGGGTAGTGGTGTATCTCTGGAGTAGATAGTAGTACGTAGGAGTAGGTGTAGTTATCTGGTAGTACTGCGTAGTGAGAATAATACTAATAATAATGCGAATCAAAATAAGAATAAAAATTTAAAAAAAAAAAATAAATGGAAATTAATAATAATACTACTACTAACTAATAATAAGGTGAAGAGAAAGATGAATGAACGTCAAGTTCCGGAACGGTCCATTTTTACATTTAGGGAGTGGACTGGCCGGTCCTTTTGGACTTTTAGGGGGGTGTGGAAGAATACTAGGAAATCGAGTAAAGTTGAAGGGGGGCGAAAGAGGGAAGGAAACCAAAGCGTCAGAGAGACAGTAGAGAGAAAGCAAGTTGACTGAGGACGGCCGACCGACCGACCGTCTTCTGTCTCGTCTGGTCTGGTCCACGGATCGAGACAGTGGCTCCGTTCCATGAAGCGATGGCCAGTCGGGAGTCCCTTGAGGCCAGAGGCCTGTCGACTAATCCCCGAACTAGAACGGGTCCAAAAAGGAAAAAGTGACTAAGATGCGCCGTCCAACGAGCGCTTGCAGCTGAAGCGCGACCCGGCAGTTTAAGATGACACGACGCGCTATCAATGGAGTGCCAGCCGATCCCGTGCTGATGCTTGCTTTGGCGTGCTTTGGATCTGTCCGGTGGCCGTGTGTGCCTGGAAAAGTTGTTCCTTCATCCATGCATCGATCAACCAACTGCTGTTTAGTCATATCCAAATTTACATGGTTTCGCTGTTGTCGAACGATGAATTCACCTGTTTCTATCTAGGTGTCATTGGGAATTGATTATCTTCGCATCCAGACCATCCGAACTCCCTCCCTCCAAGGAAGACCACCCGATTGCGGCAGTCCTTCACGCAAACAACCGAAACAAAGGAGGGAACAAGCATCCGGATGCGACATCACAGGTGCGTGTCTTGAACGCCCCAAAGGGCGTGGCAAATAGGGGAGGCAGGAGCCCTCTCTCAAAGGCAGAGAGATTCACGTTCAACACGACATCCAACCTGCCTCAGTTCAGTTGCCGAGGCCATAGTTATGATACATTCATCCAATTTTGGGGCTGCTCAGGTAAACTCATGTAGTCTAAGTAGTAACGACTATTACCTGTATATTACAATCGAACCACAAGGGTGCGGACAGCAATAAAGATGAACAACATCAATGTCAAGAACCTACAGTAGTCAGGAAGATCCAGATCCAGCTAGCATCTACCAACCTACGCATCTATCCGATTGTACCAGTCAGCTCAAACGGCTGAGAATCGATTACTATTCCCCCAATCGCAGGTGGGGTTCTCGCATAAATCCTCCCATACAGTTGGCCATCATCTAATGCCTGCACTTATGGGGCTATACTGCAGCCTTCCCCTTCACCTCCCTCCCAGTCCTACCTGGAATACTACCATGAGTCGTAGTCCTCCTCTTGACTCATGGCCCCCCCGAGATATATGACGAAGACCTTTCCCGTGTGATAAAGGCAAAATCATCCCAACCGTGTTTATAGGAACCCTATTTACCCCATCCACCTGATCACGGGGGGGTTATCGCTCTGTACGACACAAAAGCCACCCCGCGGAGCATACCCATGGATGTCGAAAGAGCCATCCTGCCTTACAGCCCGAAGGCTTCCTAGCTTACTGCACATAATCAAACAGAATCGAGCGATCCACTCCGAAGCCCACAAGTAACCGTTCGAGTCAAAGTCCAGACTCGTACTTAGCTGTAAAGGCCTACAGATCTAGTCGCCTAGGGCACAATGTTTTTCTTTGCCCCAATGTGCTTGGTTCTGGGTACATGACGTTAAAACCTCCGAATTGCTTGCCCTCAACAGGCTCATTGAGTGAACTGCCTCGGCACCATGGACCATGGACGGAATGTATAGGCGATGCTCTCAGCTGACCGTATGAAGGGAAAATAAAATAACAAGACTCATCATCACTCTGACAAAATCGGTGGCAGTTTCAGAAGCGCAAATGCTTACCACCTTCTCTTCTTCTGCTGAAATCAAGACTTATTCTTATTATCTGCACAAATAGCGATTAGCGCGCATAGCAAGCTAGTCAGTTATCCTGGGTATTGGATAGTCAGAACCAAACCAGGATGTCCTTCCTGGGTGTTTTTTGGCCTCAAAACAAGCCAGTCAACCAATCACAATATTGACCAATCGGGCATGATGCCTACTGTACGTCTAGCTGAGATGAGACCTCCCCATACACGAACTAATATGAACACACATGAGCGTCGATAGGTACCATCACGTACCTCAGTAGGGATGAGTGGGAGAGGCGGGCCCTGGTGTGTGTGGCTGCCAGAGATCCATGGGAAGGACAAACTCTGACGCTGATCTTCCCACCTGAAATTCCCTACGACAGCCAATCATCACGGTCCGTCAGACGTCTGGACTCGGGACTGGTGCGTTCTGTGCCTTGCCCGCAGAACGGGATTGGTCCATGACTGACCCTCATTGCGCGGGCAATGATTGGGATTTGGGACAATGAGAGAGAGGGGAACGGGAATCCTTTCAGGTGTCCAGTGGGTGCTGGGGATGAACGGTATTTCGTAGTGAGGAAGAAAACCAACAAGGCATGGTCATGTTTTTTTCCCTCCCCCTCATATTTACTTCTCCCTAGTGTTTGCGGAGTACCATGTCTCCGTGCACCAGGTTGCCGCTCATCCCGGGATGGATGACGGCTGAGGGAGTGGCACCGATGACTCGGGATTTACAAGGTATCATAGCAGGAGCATAGGACTAGATGCCAGCAACGCGCTATTTCACCTATATGCCGATATGCAGGTTAGGTAATGTATACGCCAGGTTTGCGAGAGGGGTGGGAAATTCATTTTCTCAAGTTGGACTCGTCGTTCTGATACGTGGATGTAAGTTGGACTGATAAGACGCGATAGCTAGTGCCTAAAGTACACACACCTCTTTAACTTTCATACACTTTCCTTTTGTCTGATTATTATGAATCTCTCACCACATTCTTATTCACCGAAACTGAAGACGTGCATCAAGGATCAAACGCCCTTTCATTGTCGCAGATGTGGTTGGCTCGGATTGGGCGATCTGGGCGTTGCTTCATGACAGTGCTGATCTAACGGAAAAGCCAAGTGGTGATGCCTGCATGGTCACCTGCCAGCCTTGAGCGCAAGGGAGCAGCCATGCAGTGATGCACAAAGTACGGAGTCGCTCGGGACTTTCTGAACCCCCTGTCCTTATTAACTAAGCAGGATAATGAATGATTCGATCATATTGAGCCCGCTGTTGCTCAGCAAAAAGGAACACATAAAAGATGTATATCAGGCCTCTCTATAGATTTACCAGACTGCATCTGGAATTTTCAACATGACCATAGCATAGAAATGTTGACCACCTTCTCTGCCTCTGTGTCCGCCTCTTAGATGGGAACCCTGCCTGATCCCGGAGATGGCTTTTAGCATTATTTTAGCAGGCTCAAGGAAAGTATGCCTGCTCATGCAGTGCGGAAACCTCATCCCTGCCAGTCATAACCGCCATACCTAATATGAGGCATCTGACTGCACGTTGGAACGCTTATACCGAGAAAAGGGGAAACAGAGGCCTGATAAAATGTATATTGTATATCACACAAGCGCAGAGGCCTCAGGCAGCACGTAATCGACTCACATAATGTACATAAAATTCTCGACCCATAAATCAATTCCAGGAGAATAGCTCTCAGTAAACGCCATGAGAAATGCCAGTAGCATGATATTGGAAAAAAAAAGAAAAGAAAAGTTCTTCCACTCCGGAAAAGCCCTCGCCAACGTCCCCCAAAATGACAGTATTCGCCTCGCCCTATCCGAGCAACGGAAGCTGGAAGGTGAGTGCACCGTGCAAGTATACAGATGTCGAAGTGAACAGATATCCCACGCCTCAGTTCTTCACATTCTTGCTTTCTTTCACAATCCCGGCCTGTAGTAGGTACCGAATATTAGTCAATCAATGTCGTAAATCAGGTCCATATCCCCTTCCTACTAGCGGACATGCTTGTATACAGCGGCAGGGCAACGTACGAGGCTTAGTAACTTCCAAACGCCATCACTGGGCTGTGCGCCAACACCGATCCAGTACTTGGCTCGAGATCGGTCGAGCGAAATCTCCTTGTATGCTTTGGCGGTGCGGGCCTCCTTCTCGGACAGGTTTGTAGGGCGCTGCGGGATAGGGTTGAAGGTACCAATAACTTCAAGAGGTTTCGAGTCGCGAGCCGACCTATAGAATATATCCCCATTAGCATCGGATCACATACACCTCTTAAAAAACCCCAAAAGAATCGCTCGCGAAACGCGATATACAGATCCCCGGGATCCATAAAAAATTTACCTACCGGGCCTGAGCAACAACGATGTTGTAGAACGGCTGGTGCCGGTTTCCAAAGCGGGAGAGGCGAATGCGAACGACCATCTTGACGAGCAATTCCTGCAATTGGAAAGCAAAAATAGGATGAGCGACTGCACAGCAAAAGGGCAACTTGATCAAGCTCAAGCAGGCCAGAGTCTCCGACTCCGCGGCAGTTTCCAGCCTGGTCGGGAGATCTGTCGGGCCGATACTGCGGAATTCGGATTAGCGTCGGTCAGTGGGGAGGGCCCGATAACAATGATGCAATGGCATTTACACCACCTTAAAGAATCGCTCCTCCTAGCAATATTTCCTACACTTATCCATTGTATTGAGTATACTGAAGTACTGCTTCATACTCTTCACACTCAATCTTGCACTTAAAAGGCACCATTGTATGTTCCGTGCCGCACTCCCCAGGCGGAACCCTATCCCGGCATTATTTCGGTACTATAGTAGATCCGCCAAGATGTCATTGAAGGTGTGCAATAACTTCACTATTTTCCGCCTAAGAAGAAGAGTACCTCAGGCTCACGAGAAACCAACAAACAGGCCATCTCATCAAAAGATGCCGCATCTCTCGATAAAGACCTCATGGAAATAGGTGGCTGGTCATTGGACCAGTTAATGGAACTAGCGGGCCTCTCTGTCTCTCAAGCCGGTGAGAATGCGACACCTTCCAGCAACAATCTAAAACCAGGCACTCTGACATCTCAGTTTACCGCATTCATCCACCAAGCTCGGGTAAGGATGTTTTGGTTATCTGTGGCCCAGGAAACAACGGTAGGCCTCAACCGACCCTTCAACCTCATCAGTCACAGAACAAACAACGATTCTGACTTCCTCTCAGGCGGCGATGGCTTAGTAGCCGCACGCCATCTAGCTCACTATGGGTACAAACCCTCAATTTACTATCCAAAGCAGGGCAAGAACGAGCTCTACCAGGTAAGCCCTCAGTAATCGCCCTACATGTCATTGGCATGACCCGAAACATGAAGCTGGGACCCCACCCTGCAAATATATATATATGCATGCATCCTCCATCCCTACACACATTATTTTCAAGCCAGGCACTCCAGCCTAACCTCACCAAACAACACAGCGCCTCAAAACACAACTCGAGAACCTCTCCGTCCCATTCATCTCCGACCTCCCCGTAGCCATCAAATCCGCCGACTTCCTCGTCGACGCCATCTTCGGCTTCTCATTCGGCGGACCCCTCCGCGAACCCTTCCCAACCATCATCTCCCAAATCGAAACAGCCAGTATCCCCGTTCTGAGCGTCGATGCGCCCAGTTCCTGGGACATTGAGAGCGGCCCACCCAAGGAAGGCCCGGGATCGAAGTTCATGCCGGAGGCACTCATCAGTCTGACTGCGCCGAAGCCGTGCGTGAAGTATTACAAGGGACGGCATTTCCTGGGTGGACGGTTTCTGACGAAGAGTATTGCGGTTAAGTATAACTTGGATCTGCCGGAGTATCCGGGTATCGAGCAGATCGTCGAAGTGGGGGTTGATACTGAGGGAAAGCTTTGAGGGGTGGAGCGGGTAATTGATGAATAAAATGGCCTATCTGCTAGGCTTAGGTATATGGTAGATGAAGGTCAGAATAAGATGAGTTTACATTGTTGTTACATCATCTGCATAGCGCTACACGAAACTTAATATTAGCGATGAATATCTTGAGAATATGTCCAATATGGAATTCATGCAGTGTAGTGTGTATCGCTATCGTGAACTAGAGATGTATACGTGCTATAGACAGCAGTAGTGAAGCAGAACACAGACGCTCCATGAGGTATGCAATGTCTTAAGACCCGGGCCCTAACATGCTATACCTTCATGATAACGACTCCCTAATCTCGCCTATGATACCCTTGATTCTTGGTTCTTTACCAAGACCCGAGCTTGAAATCATCTTCAAAACATCTCCAACATCGTACACTTCCTTGGCCGCAGTCCTGACTTCTTCCCCTAGTCCCTTGACCAAAGTTCCTAGAGCCACAAGACCGCGGTATACTGCTTCAGAATCCTTTTCACCGGTGATCATTGTCGTTAGCTCGCTAAGAAGGACCAGAGCCTGTTCCGATGACTCAGGCATCGATTCTCTGCCCGCAGAGGTGAGGTAAACGGCAAAGTTGATGTAGAGGGTTGTAATGGCAATGGTGAGATTTCGGTTCGGCGTCGTCCCACTATTGCTTAAAGCGGACTTGACGCCGCTCAAAATTTGCTCAAATCTGCTAGTGGCAAGGTCACGTCCCGCGTCCGTTTCGAAAAGGTTGGCGAGCATGCGTATTGACAGCATCGCATTGTTAACATTGAAAGGTGAGTCAAACACCCCACTAGACTGGATGCCTGAGATGAGATCCTTGCCATTGTAATCGGCCGTGGCAGTCACGGGAGTGGCAGCGGCGGACAAGCGGAGAAGATCAAGACCAGGCAGTCTGCTTGCGACAGGCCAGACGGTTGCAACCTTGTATAATAAAACAACACCAGCCTCCACTGCCGGAGACTGCTCGACATTTGAAGACTCCAACTGACCACACAGGGTTGCCACCGTCTCCAACTCCGAAGGGCTGAGCGACAGGTCTTTGGATCCGGAGGAAATGACGTGTTGATTCAGCTCTTGCAACTTCTTGGCGATCAATTTGAGGTTGGCAGATTTGATGGAAAGATATTTCTTTTGTGGAAGGACCTTCGGTCGAGCCTCCGGAGCGGGGGGTGACTGCGCATCTTCGGGACGATAACGCCTCTCTTGACCCCAAGGATCGGCCCCCGCAGGCGTCGGCCCCTGTGAGCTTTGCCCAAGAGTTGCACCTTGCGTATTCTGAACGATGAACTGAGCGACTTGATCAAGGTAGTTCATCGACAGTTCGTTGTCCTGGATGAACTTGGTCGCAGCCTCGTACGGGTTTTGAGAAACGTTGTATGGCAATTTGAGGGGGGGTTTGCCGTCTTCCACGTCGACATCAAAGACATAGTCGTAGTCTTGACCCAGATACTCCGTTTTCCTTCCACTGCTGGCAGCGGAATCAACTACCGTGCCAACTGCAACCCATTCCCGTGATGCCGCTGACCAAGTGTGAGCAGTGACGCTACCATCGTCCTCACGGATCATCTGCACCTGCCCATCCTTGGTCCCCGATTTCTGCCTGAGAAATTCCGTACCCGGAAGCTGATCTTTGTTGATCTTCCCAACCTGCTGCTCCGGAATTGCCGACTCCTTGACAGTCTTTTCAAACTGTTGTACTACTTCAGCGCTTGCCACGCGCTCCTGGCTCCTGCTAAACACGCGTGTAATTCGGTCACTGGCTCCTGTGACAATGTCGCCGGTCTCCTTGCATACTGCAACACTCCAGACAGAGATCGCAGGGTGCGTGATCGTCTGTACGCACTGCGTACCATTCCAGATCCTCACCGTCCGATCTTCTCCAGAACTGACCAACTCACCCGAGGGCAAAGCGGCCAGAGAATAAATAAAGCTCTCGTGGCCATGCACCTCCCCGACGAGTTGGCCTTGTATGGTAAAGAGACGAATCACTCCATCGTTGCTCGCCGAAGCGAAGTGTGCGCCAGTGGGGTTGGAGGCGGGAACCTTGCAAAGAGCTCTCACAACGTCCTGGGAATCTTTGATCGTTCTCAGCAGAGTGCCGGAGGTGTTGAAGATGCGTATCATCTTATCCGCGCAGCCTGGAGAGTCATTAGCATATGCATCGAATGACCAATCCGTTATATATACAAGGGGTAAGGCGCGCGCTTACCTGTGATGACAGTATCCTTGTCATAAGCGAGCACCGTCCAAACACTTCCTTGATGACCCTCCAGCACGACATCAGTTTCCCATTTACCCACCTTCCATAGCCTAGCTGTCGAGTCCCAGCTTCCACTGACTACCCATCCGCCATCATGTGACACATCCAGCGCACAGACATTATGTGTATGGCCCAAGAGCATAGCATCCGCGTTATCATCGGCAGCTTTGCCTGGTTGTCTGGCTTCAATAATAGTGTCTTGACCACCGGAGAGGACAAGTCCATCAGGAAACTGGGGGGTAGGTGGGTAGTATGCCAAGGCGTTGATGAAGGCCTGGCCGTGAGAGGTGATGGTGTAGTCATATGCCGGAGGTGGGGTAGAGACTAGTTTCCAAAGTCGGACTGTTGCATCTCGGGACGCCGAGAATATAGCATTGGGATTCGGAAAGGCCACGGCGCGAACCTGAGAGTGAGAAAAAGAGGCGTCAGTGGGCGACAATGGAGGGTTGGAAGGTGAAAGGTGGCCAGCGTTAACAGCCGGGACGTTCTTACATCATCGCCGTGGCCCTCCAGAGAAGCGGAGATCTTGAACTCAGGCATACATAGACCAGTGGAGAGAATTAGGGAAATATAGATCCCAGTAGAAGGGGTTGAGGATGAAGAGGGGGAACTGGCAAGAGCCAAAAGGATGAAATGGAGGCACCAAAGATGGCCGGGAGGGTTTCAAGGCACCTTTGGGAAGAGAGGGAGGGGGGAGTTCCTGCTTAGTAGTACTAGTTGACCTGGAGTACCTGAGGAGCTGCTGCTTAGAGACTAAAGGGAGGGCCATGGGACCATCTGGGGCAATCACGTGGGCGGTGGCTCACCAGTGTATTCGCCGGGAAGAAGTTGCTAGAATCCAAGTCTTGATAAGCCATGTTACTAAGTAACTCTTAGCTAGTTAGTACTATCGGGTTGGGAATGGAGCTATACCCTGGCTTGACCGGGTACTCGACTAGTGGCCATGATGCATTCACTACTAGTCTTAGTTTGCATTGGGTATCCATAAGGAACAAATGCTGATTTCCATCCTGAGTTCCATACCACGATTTCTTACGAAGATGCGCTGAAATGGCCCTCCTCACTCAGGGACCTCATCGCATGTTAGTAGTGTAATATCCACAGGGTCGATGCGAGTGCAGAAGCCCAAATGCCATTATTTTGGATCTAACACACGTCTGCGCGTCGTTGTAGTATCAAACCATCGAAGTCCATGAATGCATCCAGATTGCCTATTTGGGAACCGATTAGGGACATTTACCCCTCACGTGCCGTTTGACACTAGTCCCCGATAGGCTTAGGGCGGCTAACGGCCCGGCGACGATTCGCGTGAATATCAAAAAGAAAGTCCCAAACTTCCCCCCAACCAGCTTCATCTCCATCGTTCTCGTTGTTCCGGGCTTGAGTCCCTCTCCACCGTGTCTGTAGAAGCGCCGGTGGCTCATACATCTGCTCGAGGGTTCCGTCTTAATTGGGAGACCCGACTTCTCTACCTAATTCTTGTCCTGCCTTTCCTTCCTTCCACCTCCAATCATTCTAGAACGACCCCGCTACCTCGGGCTGATTGATGACTTGACGAGACTGACGAATTTCCTTGTGTACTTCTACGCTGTGTTCATCTCTCGTGACTTCTACTTCACTGCTACTCTGCGCTTCATCTGCGACAGTTCAGAGACGGTTTCTTTCAGTTTCAACTGAACACCTTATCGTCACTTCATCTAACGGCCACTACTATCGCATGCGACACTCATCTCATTGCAATTGACTTTGTACATTACCTCAAGTGAAGTTTATATACAATGGCGTCAGGTGCGGTGGATACAGTGACCCATTCTTCAAAGCAATTGGCTATTGACACATTCCAGACATTCCCAAAGTTGTGCCGTTGACCTGCCACGGACACTCACGTCCCGTGCCGCACATCAACTTCTCATCCACCGTCGAGGATGATCAGTACTACCTAATCTCTGCCTGCAAAGGTGAATATTCTCAGAACCGTAGTTAACACCCTGTGCTGACATCTACTAGACAACAATCCCATGTTGCGGGATGGCATAACAGGTGACTGGTGCGTGTTCCCCGCATTGAATACTCCGCACACCGCACATGCTTACCATCAATGTCATATAGGATTGGAACCTTCCTCGGCCACAAGGGCGCAGTATGGCAAGCCCGGCTCTCGACAGATGCGAATTTGGCAGCAACCGCAGCTGCAGACTTCTCCGCGTGAGTAACTACCTACCCACTTCCAACGCACGTCGCCGTCGCATCTCACTAACCTGCCAATTTTCTCCCCATACAACAGCAAAATTTGGGACACTCACACTGGCGAATGCAAACACACCCTCCAGCACTCGCACATTTGTCGCGCAGTAGCGTTTCCAATTCAGCCTTCCCCCCAGGTCGTCGCAACAGGTGGTTTCGAGAAGAAGCTCCGCATCTTCGACCTCACTCGCAGTGGGGGCAGTAACAGCTCCTCACCGACGAGTGCCACCCCCAACACCGACGCCAGTCCTTCCGCAGTAACAAGCTACGAGATTGGCCCCGGAGTTCACGGCGGAACCATCAAATCGATCGTCTGGAACCAGGACTACAACATCCTCACGACCGCCGCGGAAGACCGCAAGATCAGATGGTGGGATCTTCGCTCGCGCCACCCCGTCGTCGAATACGCCGTGGAAGGTACCATCGGAAGTTGCGAACTGAACTCTCTCGCCGTCAGACCAAACGACGCCGGAATCCTTACCGTCGCGGCCGGCAGATCCGTCTATCTCTTCGACGGCCTAAGCCCCGGTCGTCTCCTGAAGAAGATCGATTTCCGCTACGAGGTCGCCAGCGCAGCAGTCAACAATGAAACAAGCAGATTGGTCACGGGTAGTGCCGAGGATACCTGGGCGAGAGTATACGACGTCCGCACGGAGGAAGAGCTGGGTACGTTCCATCCCCCCCACCTTCTATACCCCCCATCATCATCATTCATCACAATTCGCTTCAATGTGGCTAACAATCCACTCGCAGAGGTCCAAAAAGGTCACCACGGTCCGATCTGGTCCGTCAGTTTCTCGCCTGACGGCAAACTCTACGGCACAGGAAGCGAGGACGGAACGATCAAGTTATGGAAGGCTTGCAGGGAGCCGTATGGTCTCTGGCGGTGATGGACCGATAGAGCGGGGAGCCAATCTACTCACATATTGAGATGTACAAAAAAGAGAAAATAACACGAAAGCGATCCTTCCCATTTGCCGAGCTGTGGTGGCATGGATCTACTTATACACCACGCAATTGCGGCTGCAGGCATATTACCTTGATGTAGATATTCGGAATAGAGACACCATGGCTATGTTGTTATACCCGCAACAATTAACAGGCGATACGCCATACTTATGCTATGATCAAGTGCATGCCTTCGAATTCCTTTGGTTTTTATTCAAGACGTCTTTTGTATTCCAACCGGGAGTGATACTAGTTACATGTAATGAAAAGAAAGCAGAGCAATCACAAGCCCTCGCAAGTGGATGTGAATTGTCAGGCGATAGTACTCAAAATCGAAAGCGAGCCTTTCACTCAATCATGTCGATATCATCATCACCCGCAGCGGCCGCAGACGCCGGCGCAATTTGCTGAGGCTCGTCAGGGACAACTTCTTTATCGGCTGCGCCAGCACCAGCGTTTCCGGAGCCACCCCAGTAATCGTCCATTTCTTGGTCGAGCTCTTCCTGTGTCTTTCTGGGCCGTCCGTTGACCGTGCGGCGGCTGTCGCCCCTGTTCTCACCTCCACCGCCCTGGCGGCGCCCGTTCGTAGCGCCGCGGTTGCGAGTCGGCGACCGCTGACCGGGAATGTATCTGTCAATGTGCTCGGGAGCAGGTTTGGAAACGTCACTGCGCCGGTACCCGCCGCCGCCAGCACCACCGCGACGACCCCGACGACGGCGTGCACCTCCATCTGGACTGCCGCTTCTACTACCGGGGCTGAGACTCCGTGCGTCGCGGTCACGGGGTCTCTCGACGCGGTCGAATAGGCTTCCCTTCGAGCGTTCCACGTTGTCAAATGGGTTGCGGTCGCGTCTTCCGGCGCCGGTAGAGATGAGTGTCAGACGGATAGGCTGGCCTTTGGCGTTTGCGCCGTCGAATTCCCTGATCGCGGATCGGGCATCGCTGATATGGCTGTAGGTCACAAAAGCGACTCCTTCGGAACGTCCTGCCCGGTCGTAAACGAGAGAAACATTGCTGATTGGTCCGATGCGGGTGAACAGGTCCTTTTCAGATCGCATATGTTAGAGCCCAGTAGAAGAAACGGTCGGGGCTGGAACGAGGCCTACCTCGAGGTCGGTTTCTGTAATGTCGTAATGAATATTCTCAACACGAAGTTTAGCTCCGCTAGACGCAGTGCTGTGTCTGTACAGGTCAACTTTGTCCACCGAAGCGCATTATATAAACATACTGTTCGGGAGAGGGGGAGTAGCGGTCGCCACGCGGACGTCGGGGGGCACGAGAAGGGCGTGCTGAGTAAGGTGTTAAGAATGACCCAACATGGATGAATTCCCATGGCTATCTGCCATTTTGAGAGTCGTATAACGCACCATCTCTGTCGTCTTCGTACTTGTCATGAACCCAGTCACTGTATGTCGAGCCAACGCATTAGCGATCCCATCACTCAGGCTGTAACACTGGACGAAAAACAATAAGGGGAAAGGTATTTACAGATCCAAATCAGGACGTTCTTCTCTGTGAGGCTGTTGCAGTCGAATAGAGAGAGAAGGTCAGCTCGAAGTCACACTAGGTATTCACGTAAACAGCTCCATCTTTCTGCGGCTCTTCGCGGCGGTCTGCCTGTGCGAGAGACGATGCTACGAGGCCAGCGAAATTTGCTTATCACGATGCGCGAGAAATGTTCGAAAAGAGACAAGGAGAGAGGACCTGCGAGAAGCAATGCACTGGGTTAGCATCGACACGCGCAAAGCAGACGCAAGAAACAGCAGCAGCTCATAATGAGATGATGACAGGGATGAGGAAATACCTTTCTTACGCCATCACGGCGACGACCTTGAGGAGGGCGACGGCCGCGGTTCTGATTCTGCTTCTGCTACACGAAGGCAAGTCAGCGCACATGCAGGGTGTGATGTCTAGCAGACCATCTGAGACTTGTCATCCCGGAGGCGTTAGCAGGGACATACAGGACGCTCCGCGATAATCTCGTCCAAACTGCGGTCCATCTTGAACAGTTGGGGAGGGTGTTTGTCGGAATAGAGAATTGAAAATAACAATCGAGTACTATTGAAATCCACGCTGTGGACAGGTGCGCAGTGGGAATTGATGGATGGACAGTAGAAAGCTGAATGAAGGTCGGAGATGAGCTTGGAATAGACCCATGCCGGACCGTGCCTGCTCAGACCGCCCGGCCAAGCAGCATTATCACGTGACCAAGCCCGTAGTATACAGCAGATGGCCATCTGCTTGCCTCTAATTACTGGTGGGGTGACCTGAATGTGTTAGAGATTGGTGGCATACTGACATGGAACCGTACTCTATTTACAGGGAAAGTTGTCATTATATTGGAATGAGTGCTTTGTTGGGAACGTGTGTATATGTAAACTACTTCTTCCCCGGAAGCTAAGCGTGCCCGCTCAGAACCGTCGAGAGCCCAATGGCAGGAAGAGAGGCGCAGACAAGGAGAAACTCATGGCTGTAATGCAAAAAGGAAGAGAAACGACGCCTCGGCTCATAGTCCTGTATGCATGGTCGAAAGCTCACCGAAGACACAACCCTCCCTTTTTGCTCCAGAAAACACCAAAAGCAACCTCCAGCAAGACTCTTCAGAAAGGTGGCAAGCAAATGAAAAGAGAAAGAGGACCGAATCAGAAAGGAAACAAAACTCCGGCAGTGCAATGCAAACGTACTAGCCCATCAATTCCCACCATTCACAGGGTCGCTGTTGTTATGCTCTATCATCTTCTCCATGAAGCTGATGTAGTCATATTTGGGAAGGTCCCTGTCTTCTTGAAGATCCGGTCCGTTGTGCGGCGGCATAGTCTGGACTAGATGTTCGATTACCTCGTCGGGAATGAGAGAGTGTCGAAGGTCGAGCTCCGTGACATAAGGCTAATGCAAAAGTCAGATTCTGAATGAAATGCAACACTTTGCAATTCTGTGGGATACATACCTTGCCATCCGCAACCTCGCGGAAACTCTGGTAGACTTGCTCGGCCGTGTTTTGATCCTCAGTGACGCTGACCATGAATCGGATGAACTGCTCAAAGCTGACACCGGCATTTTGCGCAAGTCGAGCTGGTCCGCATGTCTCCACGTAGACATCATGCATCTCCTCTTCATCATATACAAGGCCAAGACTTGCGAGGGCTGCCGAAAATTCAAGCTCATGAAGAGTATTGGAAGCGTCGCGATCGAAATGCCTGAAGACAGACTCAAATTCCTCCAGTTGAATTGGTGTCAGGTTGGTCATGTTCCGAGCCACGAGTTGATTGTCAAGGAATGCCAGCTTTTTGGAGATGCTGGACTTGACCAAGCTCAGCTCGTAAGAGAGTTCATCTAAAGTATATGTGGTGTAGTCGTTTTCCTCAATATTCGCCTCCGCACATTGCTCGTCCAGAGCCGCAATGGTATCTAAGAACGCATCGAGGGGAGGGAGGTTGTCATTGAGTCTCTTGACATGTGCTAATTGGTCTTCTACATCACCATCGAGACCAGATATTGCCAGAGACAGGGTCTTCAACGTTAGCGCAAAATCGTTGGCTTTGTCTGCAAACGATCGGCGGAGGGCATTCTTGATATCCCGAATGGTCTCGTTAATAAGCTGGCTACGTTCGTGCTCGTCACGAGTCAAGCCCTCCCACTCCTCATCGCAAACCTCCAGACTTAGTTCCTTTGGCGGTTGGTAAGGGCGCAATCGGTATGTGCTGAGTTTGGTCTTGATGTTACCGAGCAGGGCTGCGAGATCCGACTTTTCTGCAACCCACTGGCGCTTCTGGTTTCTTTTATACAAGGAGAACTGGTGGGCTTGCTCTTTCGCGTCCTTGTATGTACCTTCAAAAGAAGAGTTCTTCCATGCCTCACGTTGCACTCTGATAACGCGCAATAGTTCCCTCATTCTCCGCTCGTAGGAATTCTGCATCTCCCATGCACCATGCATGTTGTTGATGAATTTCTCCACCCGACGTCCGGCATTCTCGACACGCTCCAGCTGCGAGAATGCATGGAACCAATAAGCGATGTATGTCATCAGTGACTTCTCATCAGGTCTGGCTTGATCGCAAACATCATCGACATCGAGCAAGTCAGGGATGCCTATTTCGTTAGCTGCGATGTCGAAGGCGAGTTTCATGTTACCCCGGTGGTCCTTCTTGTCCAGAGCATCGAAGTCAATCAGGTCTGGACGATGGATATCCAGAAGGGCACAGAAGGCCAGACCATCATTCCAGCTAGTGGAGAAGTCCCGGACTTCTACTCCTTCGTAACAAGCAGTCTTCCGTTGACACCACAGAAGGAGACCCGCCTTCGCGGTCATTCCCTCCGCGTTGATGTCGCTGATCGTGAATCGCAGAATGAGTGTCCATATCAAGCCCAAGATGATCTTTCGATTTCCATCCACAACATCCTCCGCTCCAATGTTCGTCATCGGGATCCGCCTTCCCTTGATAAAATCGAGACTCTTGTTGACATTTTCGAATTTCTGCACCCGCAACTTTGGCTTCGAGGCATATCGACCGAGTGACTCTCCACCCAGGATTTCGAGTAGATGGATAAGGATAACCTGAAGTTCCGATAAGAATCATTAGCAACCGGAGCTTCCCTCAGTTCGCCGCAGGGGTTGGCGCCCGAACAAGGGCCAAAGTAGGGGTGTACTCACACCATCGGAAAGGTCGACCACGAGGTCATCGATGAAGATCTTCCGCACCTTCAGCTTGTCATTGAGCCTGCAGACAAACCAGGGTCAGCTTACTCAATTTCGGGAGAGTGCATAAAGAGGGAAAAATAAAGAAACAGCGAAAAAAATATTTTGGGGCATGTGAGGGCAAGAGGGGTAAATTGGAGAAGGCCTCTCCCCCAGCATGCGATTAGGGTAGAAGGAGGAAAAGAACCAACCATTTGGTGAAGGTCTTCTGTTGCACATTAATCCACTGCTTTTCAACTGTCAACATGATGGATAGCGAGGGTGGTTGAGAACATCCAGGGCGGGCGGGGAGAAATTGGGCGATTGAAGCACGGACTGAGGGAGCGTTTGCTGTCTATCTGGAGGCTGGTATCCAGTGAGTTAATGGATGGAGCCGACGGAGACCGACTTGAATAGAAAAGGCAGGATCTTCAGGACGGAGGTGACTAGAACGAGTGGGAAGGGGGGGCTGCGATTCGCCGGTTTCAAAGAGATCGAATCGCCTAGATAGATAGTCGGCGGTTGGGCGCAGAGTTGAAAGAAAGAACTAAGCAGAATGAATAATCATCGAGTAGGAAACTAGGAAATTTAGTTGATTAATTTGCTAGTTGGAGCCTGGAGCGTGAGGGAGACTACTAGTTAGTAGCCTTGCCTTAGTACAGTTAAGCACTTAAAAGTAGGCCCCATTCATTGCTTTTTAAGGGGCTCTCACTCACTCCCTCTGTCTCCTCCCGCGTAGTGGAAAAGGGCCTGTCAACAAACTTCCACCCCCACAGCAACCGCCGCTGGTCCTGCCCGGTCGGCTGCTGCCGGTAGGTTCAGATCCCATCCCCCCGTCCAGTCGTTCATTCATTCATTCATTCATCATCCATTCTCCATTCTTCAGCCACGCAGTCTTCTATCATCGGAGAATTTCTAAAAGCAAATTCGCCCCATTCTCTCGCATTGCTTGCCCAAGAATTATCATCTAGCGTCGATTTATGTCCGTCCAACCCGTAAAGAGAATTCCTTCATATCAACTGTTGACCCGGTTTCTGTTTATAGTACACTCCTAATAGTACTAGTTAGTAGTCCAGGGGAAGGATGGCGCTTGATGACCACTTAGAGTCGAGAGAATCACCGTAGCACTCAGGTTTTCCCGCATGGCGTTCATCCACTATTACTCTGCAGGCGTTTGTTCTCTTCCAGTCCTGCTTCAATGGTTCCGAAGAAGGGTTACCCAACCAGGGGATATGCAGGTGAGACGGGCTTCAGTGGTGTCTGACTCGTAGACTTTCTTGCGATATGAATAGCACGGCTCTGGAGGATGATCCATGTTCAATTTTCCGAAGCGACGCTGATCAAATTCTTGAGTGACCCACCAACCTGACTTCAATCAACCAATGTCGATGGAACTGCAAGACGATTGAGGGGTTACTAGTTTCTCATGTTGTCGCCCAACTGAAGGCGTGATCATTGCCGGCTATGGATGGACGTCTAGTTCGTCTTCCTCTGCCGGAGGCATATCCACGATTCGGGGCACGATGTTTTCCTGGCAGTATGGTTGTACAAAGACAACCCCAGTAAAACAGGTCTCAAAATGCCGGGATAAACATGGAGGGCACACGCGAGAAAGTACCGTGGTAGAAACCTGCATTTTACCTTTCCCGATGCAAGGGCGAGGATACCAGTTGCCCCATAATTTTAGCCATCTTTCCAGCTTGAACAACAAGCTCCCTATCCGTGCGGGGGCGCAAAGACCGAATGTCTCGCCAGAATGAGAATTGATGTAACTGTCTCAATTCATTCAGGTATGCTGCATCCATCATAGTATGTAGATAGTTCCTGCTATTCTTATTAGTATACGGAGATCAAAACAGATGAGGCCGGAGACACAAGCGGCAAAGGGGTGGGCTGATGATATCATCGGATTCGCCGAGGCGTGATGGGGCCCGCGCGCGAAACATTCAGCTCAACTTAATCGGCTTCCCCTCTCCCTGTCAGTCATTCTCCGGGTTCACTCCGTGACTACTGATTACCTTGCGCCTGTTCATACCGAACATCTCAGATTCCCCAAGCTTGTTTCGCTTTGCCATTCTCGATTCTTTTGTTTCATAATGTCGGCCAGCTACTCCTTTGCGGACGAGGTACCACTGCCAAACTCCGCCGTCAAAATACCCCGCCTCGGCTTCGGCGTCTATCGGTCACCTTCCACACAATGCGTGCAGTCCTGCCTCAAGGCCCTCGAAGTTGGCTACCGGCACATTGATACCGCTCAGTTCTACGCAAATGAGAAAGAGGTTGGCGACGCCATCCGTTCCTCTGGCCTGCCCCGCAATGAAATTTTCGTGACCACCAAAATCCTCAGCCCAGCGGGCTCGCCTGAGGCAACCTACGAGAGACTGCTGGCTAGCGTCGAGAAGATCGGTGGTCCGGACGGATACGTTGATCTGTTCCTGATTCATAGCTCCAAGTCTGGCTCGTCGGGTCGCAAGCACTTATGGCAGGCCCTGGAGAGGCTGCTGGAGGAAGGCAAGGCTAAGAGTATCGGTGTCAGTAACTTTGGAGTGAAGCACATTGAAGAGATGAAGGAGTATGCGAAAGTCTGGCCGCCCCATGTTAACCAGATCGAGGTTAGTACTCCATACTGTCTTTCTGTTGGTTCGCTGCGGTGCAATAGGAAAGAGAATCCGACTGACTCATTGAATCGCACAGCTCCATCCTTGGTGCCAACAACGCGTGATCGATGCATACTGCAAGAAGAACGGAATCGTTATCGAGTCTTATGCCCCCATTGTGCGAAACTATAAAGCGAATGATCCTACACTCGTGGACTTGGCCAAGAAATACAACAAGACGACCCAGCAGGTCCTGATACGCTACGCGCTGCAGAAGGAATGGGTTCCACTTCCTAAAACCGACAACCCAGACCGGATTGCGGCTAACGCTGATGTGTTTGATTTCGACATCAGCGAGGAGGACATGGCGGTGCTTAATGCTCTTGACCAGGGAAGCAGTGGCGCCATTGTCGAGGCCGTCGAGAACGAATAGTTCGTCCATTTATAGACATAATTAATTGCGAATTTTTAGGTTCATTTCTTTAAGGTATTAGTAATCTGGGCGTTGCATGAGGAAGGCATTGACCGATTGAAGCGTAGACCGCGAAGGATTCACGTCATGTTTGGAGGATGTGATCCAAGCGAGCCGCTGACGAATGAACTGCTTGCCGATCATTTGGTTGGTGGGAACAGCAGTGAACTTGCCTAGTGTATTATTAGTGCTGTAGAGACACCTTATAGAATAGACGAGACGGGTTGACATATCGACGAGAGACTTACCTTCCTCATTATAGAACAGACACAATATTGCAAGTAGAGCACCGACCGAAAGATCCTTGCCAGTCTCACATGTCACCAGCAATGATCGTGATGGGTCTGAGCTCAGACGGGACTTCACGAAATCCTGGACCTTGTCCATGTGTTTGCGCAGGTCACGGCTTCCAAGCTTAGAAGATCCGCAACCGAGATTCAGGCGATTCGCATTATCTTCCGCTCCTTCTGCGCTCGCATTGCAATCTATGACCAGATCAAACATGCTGCCGTCGTTGAGTTGAGGGTGTGTTTGGCTGAGATATAAGTTTCGTGTTGGCGCAATACGTATCGCTCTCTGATCGACGTTCTTTTTACTGTGATCCTCAACCAGCTGCTCGATTACGGTCGGGAGATCTTCTTCTGAGTGCTGGAACAGGGTCGCTTTAGTAGCCCAGAAGACAGGAGGAGTTAGCCCATAGGCCCAACTCTCGCTGTCGTCTCCTGCTCCTTGGATATAGCCGCCTTCGGACATTTCTGCGCCATGGACCCGTTTCGATGCGGAACAGAGAACAAACAGGCGGTAGTCATCCCCTTTATGTAGGTCCGTCGGATGAAAATAGGCTCGATTGGCCCATGCTACCCGAATAGGTTTTCCAAGTTGCTGCTTGAGTTCATTTAGATCGAGTTTCAGGTCCTAGCAGCCTATCAGCACATATGGGAGTCATGGGTCATTTCACAGCAGAGCAAGAGTTACCTCGAGGGATTTGACGAAGCCGTCAATCCTCCGCTCAATCTGGGACTCTTCAGAAGCGCCCAGATAATTTGGCGGAAAGTTCACCGCGTGATATGCAGTGTCAGATGGAAATAGCGCCCTGTTGATGACGGCACACCAGATCGGAACAGTTTTAGACAGGGCATCAGGCATCACTGGCGCATACCTCGTTAACGGGTGCACGAATGACATGGAGGGGGTAGCTGGTTACTTACATTTACCCCGGCGTGTGGAATCCACGATAATGCAACTGTATCAACGAATAAGGGTCAGCCATTCAGTTAGCCCGAAGCAGAACGATCAGCAGGGTTGGCAGGAAAAGATGGATGACAGTATCACTGACCCTCCATGTTCCCTGGCAATTGGTAGAAGCTGCAAGTTTAGTCTGCGAAAGCTGAAATCCCACTGGCCCGTGTGACCATCTGTGCTCTTGAAGTACGCACTGCCAGACTTGACTTCAGGCGGGATGTACCAGCTCCCGCATCTTTCGTTGGCGATGAGAGGAAGGTCGTAATGGGCTGCAACCTCATGGACAAATGCCGCGTCGGCCTCGATGGAACGCAGTCGGTTGGTGATGGAGAGTGCTGATCGTCGCAATGCAGATAGCGTTTGAGAAATCGATTGTTGCTCTGCTGAGGGGAAGTGAAGGGACGAAATAGACACGGGATAGGGATCGGAACCAGAAGCAGATTCCATGTTGCGTGGAGTGCTTTGTATTGGCTTGAGGGCCAGCTGTCGGGTCGTATTCGCAGTGGAATCAGAGACTGGTAATTGAAATTCACGAAACAGGTTACAGTATGCCTCGGGATGCAGGAAACAATATCAGACTAGGCTTTGACGTCCCTAGTGGTAATGAGAATAACGGGATCAAATGCGATCGATAATAATGAGGGGCTCTAATGCAAGCGCCATTAGAATTTCCTCGCCGGCCAACGATCGGCCCACATTTAAGGCCGGCGCCGACAAGTCGAACGCCATCACGCGGGGTGGAGCAGAGCCATCGATGGTACCTACAGGGGTGACTACATACATGCTTAGGAGCGCGATTCCAGGAACATGTGGAAGTAAACAATACTATGTATTGTCGGCTTTAATCTCGGAGTTTTTGTAACTAGTTGCAGTCATAGATAGTAGATATCTTACTCATGACGGATGAAGCCCGAGCACTCTCGAGTATTGTACTAATTTTTCATCGTATTGTCTTCGCAACAACTGGCTTGACCAGTTGCATTAGTATATGAAAATTCCCTCATGGCACGGTTTCATCCGACCGCAGGGCGTCTCTATCTTACTACAGCTTAGTATCATTGAGGGTACCCGGGTATTGCCCTGGCGTACAGAGAGTAATGCGTGGTCCGATCCTTGGCGATGTATTATTGCTCAGTCCAGGCAGGAAACAAACTGACCTAGCAGTAGCTGAATGGATTACTGTGCTCCGGGAGACGTACAAAGTCAACGGACGAGGTTCCAGGCATTATTCTAAGATTGTAACCGAGTATACCCCCCTCGCATGAGCACACCCGGTGACTGACTGGTATGAAAGGTAACCTAGCATGATACGGTACTGGGTAGTAAGTGAAGGTTGGTAACAAACGGTAAGGAGCACAAAACTCTTTCGCTTCTGCCGATACAACTTGCCTACTTGACAGGGGAAAGAATCGTTGTGAATAGCAAAGAAAGTAGAGGAACAAAACGGTTCCACATCTGCAATATGGCGCCCCCAGCACATGGGATGTCGATAAACATGCCATGGAATCCTATCGATTGGCTCTGCGCTTCATCATTGGGCTTTTGAGGCGTCGACAGAAAAGGAACCGGAAATTGAAGGCGACAAGAATGGGCAGAGAGGATTCGGTGCCTTTCCATGGGGTGATACCGCTATGCCTCAACGGGAAAGGAAGAGGGGCATCCGAGCGCGATTCGAACGACGAATGGCAGCGGGTGCTTGCCTGAATCGGTTTAGCATCTTTCACTAGCACTAGAATTCGGCCTGTTGATAACGTCATGGGTGTTTTTTCAACTGTATGATCTCAGGGAAGTCAGGGCCGGCACCCCGCTCCTACCTTGGATACCGGGACTGTGTACAACAGGAATTGGGGATTCCCTCGGGGGTTTCTAGTCATTCTTCGGTTCTACTGGATCTCTATTACGGGCAGTGGGTTCAAGCCTACTCATTCCGTGGCTGAGTTCCCCATAACTAATAGGTACCCCTTTCACCCGCTGGCTTCCTTTGTATTGGTCCCTTCCAATACTACTTAAACAAAGTGAATACCCTCGTCCTTGCCCCTCTTCTTCTGTCACTTTTCTCAGATAACTTACCCACAGACCTTTCGTGTCCCCCCTTCCTCTACAAATTATAAAAAAACGGCAGTCTCCTTTCCTGTCATATCCTCTTCTACCTTACATCGGTCTCCACCCCGACTTCTATCTCGCTTCGTTTCATAAACGTTCCTCTACTGCCATTGCTGTGCAACATTCTTGATCTCAATTAAGAAAAGATCTACTAGACTTGCATACATCATGCCGCAGGTAAGCTATCAATTCTTCATGCGAGGTTGGCATGAACACAATGTGCTTACGAACCTTGATTGTAGATTACTGAGATCTTCTTCGACTGCGACAACACCCTCGTCCTCTCGGAAGAGCTGGCCTTCGAGGCGTGTGCCGATCTCGCCAATGAAATCTTGGAGAAGCAGAAAATCCCGGATCGCTACACGGGAGAGCAGCTTATCCAAGATTTTGTGGGTCAGAACTTTCGAGGAATGATGGTCTCCCTCCAGGCCAAGTACAAGTTCGAGTTGTCACAGGAGGAGCTCGAGGAATATGTGAAGAAGGAGGAGGACAAGGTCATCGCCAAGCTGACTGACAAAGCTCAGCCATGTGTGGGTGTTAACGCTGAACTTGACAAGCTTCTCGAGTCCAAGAAGTATGGTCTAGCAGTGGTCTCTTCGTCTGCTTTGCGCCGTGTCCGTGCTTCGATCACGAAGGTCGGACAGGACAAGTATTTCGACAAAGATGCTGTGTTCAGCGCAGCGACCTCTCTTCCCAAGCCTACTTCGAAGCCGGATCCGGCTATCTACATCCATGCCCTCGAAGTGCGCAAGAAGAAGCCCGAAGAGGTGGTCGCTGTCGAGGACAGCAAGTCTGGTGCACTCAGTGCCATTCGTGCTGGAATCCCAGTCATTGGTTATGTCGGAAGCTACCACGGTGACGCTAAGCAGTTGGAAATGTCCCAACTTTTGCAAGGGCTGGGTGCCAAGGTTATCATGAAGGATTGGAGCGAATTCCAGAAATGTCTCTCCGAAATCGAGGAGTCCTGAATCTCTAGCAGATGGGGCCGTTTTGTACGCCAGTTACGATTATGAGCACGAAGTCACGATAGCAAGCGCGCTGGCCGTTCCGGGGTTTTGGGTCACTTCCTTCATTTCACATGGTGATATCTCAGACGCCGCTTATTCTATGCCTCAGGTCCTTTACACGACCGAGTTTGTACCCTTAGTATATCGCGCAGAAAACAATCACTCACCTTGTCGGGGGGCCGTCGTCTGATAACCCATGCGGCTTATTTGTCTCATCTGCATGAGTCGCTTCAAGACCGGGATATCTACATTGTTACTCAAGGTCTTAAATAGAGAGGTAATCATGGATTTAGGTACTTCTCTGGGCGCCTGCTGCCTGCACAATGAAATAGAGCTTATCTATCACTGTGTTCCTTCAAGTAAAACGACAGTAGTAGAAGTTCCATTCCAGAGTACACTTTCAAAGTTTCATGCATCCTTAACGTAAACACACTGCATAGTAGCAACCTACGGAACTGCTAGGTGTGATCGCAGGGATGAGTATCCGCCCGGGGAGCTGCGACTCTACTCCGGCCGGGTGGGCCTGGATCGCCTCAAAGGATCTATAGACGACCTCGACCATCACTTTATTGCTTCTCCCCAGACTCATACCCGGCTTATTTCTTGCCAGATATAAGTGAGTGTCTGGCATTCGGATAATCGGCTGCATTATCTTCTTCTTGATTGGACATGCGCCCATGCAACCATTTGATCCTTCGACTATTGCGGAGTAGAAGAAGGTGGTTCCTATCCTTTTCCGTCCAATGACCATAATTCTTCGCAAGTCCGCTGATTTTACTTTGTAATAGCTCTGTGCTACTTGGCGGCATGGGCGAAGCAAGTAATGGCTGATGTCTCAGGTATTACAGGGGTATAATGACTCAATTTGACTGATGGTTACTCTCAGCCAGGCTTTTTGAAGGCCTTGAGACTATAGTATATAACCTGACCTGCAGCTTCGTTTGGCTCACTCCTACCCTCCGAAAGAGCAAGTCCTATTTCCTTTCTGGCGTGTTTTACAGGCTAGAAAATGATCACATCTTCCACTCCGTCCCGAGCTGCCAGCGCTCTGGCGTTCGGTCGACGAATGCCATCACAAAGAAAAGCATCCTCGTTTGTATACCCTACAGTTCCTACAAATACCCATTATACTAACGGTGAATCTTGTCATGTCAATACAGTCGTCTTCTCTCTTCAACCGCACACCGTTATTCCGACGAAACGCTGAACAAAGTCTCCTCCAAGATCACACAGCCCAAGTCCCAGGGTGCATCTCAGGCGATGCTTTACGCGACCGGTCTGACAGAGAAAGATATGTCCAAGGCACAGGTTGGAATCTCATCAGTGTGGTTTGAAGGGAACCCCTGTAATATGCACTTGATGGATTTGTCGTCGCTGGTCCGTGACTCGGTAGCCAAAGCCGGCCTGGTCCCCATGCGCTTCAACTCCATTGGCGCCTCTGATGGCATTAGTATGGGCACATCTGGCATGCGTTTCAGTTTGCAGAGCCGAGAGATCATTGCCGATGGAATTGAAACGGTCATGAACGCCCAGTGGTACGATGCTAATATCTCGTTGCCTGGCTGTGATAAGAACATGCCAGGTGTGCTGATGGCCATGGGCCGGGTCAATCGCCCGAGTATCATGGTGTATGGTGGTAGTATCAAGCCCGGCTGCAGTGCGGGGGGCAAGCCACTTGATTTGGTCAGCGCCTTTCAGTCGTACGGTCAGTATCTCACTGGCGAGATCGATGAGAAGGAACGGTTCGATATCATCCGACACGCTTGCCCTGGTGCTGGTGCTTGTGGGGGCATGTATACTGCCAATACTCTGGCAACGGCTATCGAGACCCTCGGTATGACTGTCCCTGGAAGCAGCAGCACGCCGGCAGAGGATCCACGTAAGCGGGCAGAGTGTGAGAATGTTGGTCAGACAGTGAAGAATCTGCTGAAGGAGGATATTCGGCCCAAGGACGTCATGACGCGGCAGGCCTTTGAGAATGCCATGATTGTTGTGAACATTCTCGGAGGCAGTACTAATGCAGTACTGCACTTGATCGCCATCGCTGATTCTGTCGGGATCAAGTTGACCATCGATGACTTCCAGGCCGTGTCAGACAAGACACCTTTCTTGGCTGATCTGAAGCCTTCCGGCAAGTATGTCATGCATGACCTGTATAATGTCGGGGGCACGCCAGCATTGCTGAAGTTCCTGCTCAAGGAAGGCCTTATCGACGGCTCCGGAATCACCGTGACTGGCAAAACCATGAAAGAGAATGTAGCCTCATGGCCCGAGTTCTCACCTGACCAGCCTATCATCCGTCCCCTAAGCAATCCCATCAAGCCAACCGGCCACTTGCAGATCCTCCGTGGGTCATTGGCCCCTGGCGGCTCTGTTGGCAAGATCACTGGCAAAGAAGGTCTTCGGTTTGAAGGTATCGCTAAATGCTACGACTATGAGGATGCTTTCATCGAGGCCCTCGAGCGAGGCGAGATCAAGAAGGGCGAGAAAACCGTCGTCATTATTCGATACGAAGGACCCAAGGGTGGTCCCGGTATGCCTGAGATGCTCAAGCCCAGCTCAGCCATCATGGGTGCCGGATTAGGTCAGGACGTTGCGCTCCTTACTGATGGGAGATTCTCTGGAGGTAGCCATGGCTTCTTGATTGGACATATTGTGCCTGAGGCTATGGAGGGCGGGCCCATTGCCCTGGTGAAGGACGGCGATCGGATCGTGATTGATGCGGAGCAAAGAGTGGTTGATCTGCTGATTGCTCCGGAAGAGATGAAAAAGAGAAGGGCTTCTTGGACGGCACCGGCACCTCGGGCGAAGAAGGGGACATTAAGCAAGTATGCGAAGCTGGTGAGCGACGCGAGTCATGGGTGTGTGACGGATGGGCCAGTCTAAGCTGGACTTTATGTAGCTAGTTCGATGCAGAACATATTGGGCCAGACAGATTATTCCTTCTACAAACATATTGTGTTCCATTGTGGCTATAGTAGACCAACACTGCTCCTATACTAATTTCATGTTGCCATGCTGCTATAGTACTACAACCAGATGGCTGTTATCTACATTCAGCATCGATGCTCCTCAAACAACTACAACCACCACAACACGCACATAAGACCTAAAACTACAACTACACGTTTACACAACCTATTCTCCCACTACCAATATACCAGTAACCTCCTACCCCTCGCAACCTCTCTTCAATATAATCCACACACCCCAACCCCAACCTCTCAATCCAGATCCAGATCCAGCTCCCCAACCCGATAAGATAAGGGCTAGCCCTCTAACCCAATCCGGTTGGTGACCCCCTCAGTGACCAGCTTAGTTTCCCCTCCTGCTACGTCAGTCACCCGAGACCAGTTGTTTACTCTTTACCTACCTACCTGTCTACAACTAGAGTTGTTGATCTTTTACACCTTCTCCATATAAACCCATTAGACATAGACCCGCTCCACCCACTATCTTTACCACCAATTTATCCCCAACTTTGCTTGTAAAGTGCAAAATGTCCGATCCCAAATACGCCGGGTCGAAGTTGCTGTCGAGGGGTCCGTTGGTATGTATATATGAATAGTGTTTTAAATACCGTATAATGTTATATACTATGGGGGTTGATATCTGAAGAATGAATTGATACTAACGGGTTATACTGATAGGACCCCAAAGAAGCCAAATGGACTCGACTGGTCATGTCGTCGTATACGGATCCTAATGGTGTTGAGAGGACGTGGGAGTCTGCGGAGCGTCAGGTACGAATAGTTACTTTCCTCCCTGCAACTTTCTTCTTGTTGGCATTTCTGCCCGTATACTTCAATTGAAGAATTCTTTCTTTGGGGGATGTGAAATGATACTTCTTGCGATGAGGAGTGTTATAGTTACTTGTATGCTTGCTAATTGCTTCCAAGACCCGCCCCGCAAACTGCGAGATCGACGGCGTTGGAATCGTGACCATCCTCAACAAGGAAACCGGACCAGAACTTCTCCTGCAGAAGCAGTACCGTCCACCTATCGACAAGGTGGTCATTGAGGTCCCCGCGGGGCTGATTGATCCTAATGAGACGGTGGAGGAGTGCGCTGTGCGGGAACTTAAGGAGGAGACGGGTTACGTTGGTGTGGCGGAGCAGACTAGTAGTGTTATGTATAATGGTGAGTTTTTACATTCTTTTCTTTTCTTTTCTTTTCTTCTCCTTTCTCTTCGGATTAGACTAGACTAGCCTACAGTACCACTTGAGCATGGGTTAAACTTGTGTTGTTTGGGGTATTGACTGACGGTGTCTACAGACCCCGGGTTCTGCAATACCAACCTCAATATGGTGCATGTCCGGGTGGATATGTCGTTGCCGGAAAACCAGAACCCGAAGCCCCAGCTCGAAGATAACGAGTTCATTGAGTGCTTCACTGTGCCTCTGTCTTCGTTATTTGAGGACATGAAGAAGCTGGAGCGGGATGGATATGCTATTGATGCTCGGGTGGGCACAATAGCCGAGGGTATCGAACTTGCGAAGAGATTCAAGCTTTAAGCTGTATGTAGATGTTCCAGCTTTGGCTCCGTCTTCGTCCCGTACCATGGATCTGCATATGCCATTGTATGATGACGACATTGCCGTTAGAGTCGATATACTGTCGAATGCGATATATTTACATTAGTGTGAGTGTTACTGCTTCCGGTATTAGAGCCCACAAACAGCTGTGGAGTGTGAAACCCGCCTACAGTAGCCCCTCCTCCTTGAGGCCTTTATATAAAGCCCACGCGGCAAGGGTCTTCCCATCCCGCAGACCCTCTTTCCATAGATCGCGCAACGGTACCACCTTCAACGTGATCTTCTCACCATGCTGTCGTAACCCAGTCAGCCGTCCTTGCAGGCTGTCGATTTCCTTGCGCGACATGCGCTTCTGACATAAGAACAAGGGAATAAACTCGTCGCTCCCACCGGCCGAAGGGTACACTGCCTTTTGCAACGTCTCACCCTCTTGTGGCACAGACTGCAGAGCCAGCGATGTCATGTCAATTAGCTCCTCCTGTGGTATTGTCAAGCCTGTCTCCTCTTGAATTTCCTTTGCTGCACCACCAGCGAACGATCCACTGTCATCAAGCATGCCGGCTGGGATTTCGGGAAACGCAAGAGAACCCGCGGGGATACGAGGTTGGATGGTTAAAATGGCACGCTTCTCGTCTTCTGCCGATTGAGGTACATC